CACGACTCTTTGTAGAAGTACTTCCTTGTCTGAATTAATGGTTTGGACTTTGGGGTATTCATAAAAAGACACATCATGGTTTAAGAGAGGACACACACCTTTTTAGTTGCCCAAGTCAATTATCTCCTTCCCATGTGGGACTTGACCAGGACAAGGAGCTCAGAAAATGACATCTGTCCATCATTTCCATAGATGGGTCATTTGTATTAAGGGACTGAACAACAAGTTCCCTTGAGGTGTTGTTCTGCCTATACATGTGTTGTGAAGTGTTCTGTTCTTGAAGAAACCACTAACAAGTTGACAAAGGATTTGAAGTGTTTAAGCTGCTTGTTTCCCCTGTCTTAAAATGTGAGACAAGGTCCAAAGATAGTGGCTTCATCAAGGACATTATGCCCTTAATCAAGCACGATATAGAACAAGTTGGTGAGATCTGAAAAAAAATATGTAGCAACTATCAGATTCTTTCAAGGCACAATGAAGAGGTGATTTTTTTTATTGTATACCATATGAGTAGATCTATAACCTAACTTGTATCGTCTATGCAGGATGTTCGGGAAACTAGAATTTTGTAGTTATTCTGACATGACTGTTTTACATTTTTATTTTCTCCTAGGAAAGCCTCTTTTGCAAATTTGTTTGTTTGAATTATGTTATAAATTACAAAAAGAAGAAGTCAGTAAAAAACTACTTTTATCAGGTAAAAATTTGAAGTCCTACAGTAGTATGATTGCATGAAAATATGTTTTCCTATAGTTGCAACTTGCAGGCGTGAAGCTACTAGATTTGCAACAATGAAATAAGTGAAGTTCAATGGTGAGGTCTTCTTTGAAATACTAATTAAAGAGTTTGATTTTGAAATTTATCATTAAATGACTTCTGTAAAAATTAATAAACAGAAGATACTGTCTTGGATGTCAGGATTGTTTTACTTCAAACACTACCTGAAGGGGTTCAAGTGTCTGATACAAAAAATGAGAGGGTTCAACATCCTTCGCAAATATCTTTATTGGCCTTAGCATATAATGAGGAAACACAGTTGCTGCATTCTATTTACTAATTTAGCATTTTCCAAAAATAAACAAACAAGTTACCCTATAATATTGATGACTTTTTTATCCACCATATCCGGTTGTGTTTTGACGCCACGAAATGTGTAATTATGGGCACGGTGGTCTATTGATAATTTTTTGTCTTATTATCTATGAGATGGGCTGTTACCTTTGTTGCTTTTTATAAGTAGCATATATCCCAAGTTGGAAATGATGATGAATACAAGTCCCAACTCTCGAAGAGTTAAATTGGAACATATTGATAGAAGTTTAAAGATACTATCTTTTTGACTTGAAGTTATAGAGTTAATATTTGTTAGCATGTAGCATTATTTGAAAGACCGCATAGAAATCTTTTGATAGTGAGAGTTCAATAGGAAAATGGGCTTTATCACCGGCTATATTAACTGTCTTAGTTCCATACACGTCAAAAAGGCTTGCATGCTTAGCATGCATCAAAGTCCAAAATCCTCTTTCTCATGTAGTAGTATGTATTTCCTTCGAGTCGTGCCTAGTATTTATATGTGTAATACCTTAGCCCTTCACAAAAATTACTCCTATCCATGTCTTGTTCTCTAGCTCATGAAAAGATTCTGCACTCTATTCTATGTTTTGTTCACCACCTAATAAATCTCTACTATGTAAAAGATTTCTACCGCTACTTGTCTAAATTTTATGTACAAATGTTCTTTATGTGTGATTTCTACTTGGATTGTGGAAAACAACATCATATTATTTTCATTCTACTTATTTATTGGTGCAAGATGTAGGAGTTTTCCACCTTTCCATATAAGGGAGCCTTTAATAGATCATCTTGTAAAACTTATGCTGTAATAAAAATGTGTTCAAGCTAAATTTTCCCTTTGCTTTCTTTAAAGATATAAGTATTGAAAACACCTCTAAATATAGCGTGAATTATTACTTAGTCCCCCAACTATTGACAGCTTTAAAAACACCCCTCTATTTGATTAAGTAATTTAAGAACACTCCTTTTATGCCTCATGTCATCTACCCTTGTGTATGTGTGGAGTTTTCTGCTCATGTGGCGTACACAACTATATATAGTAAAAGAACATTTTGATAATTAAATGCTAAAATTTAGCAATAAAGAAGAGAAGAACTTTTTTTTTAAAAAATTCTTGCCCCCCCCCCCTCCTTCTTTTCCTCTTTAATTACTAATAGCATTTAATTAAATGTTTTTTTAAAATATTTGTTTTATTATATATATCTATGTGTATGCCACATCTGCAGTAGACCCTGCCTGTATGCTTGGGTGTATGATATGTGGCATAAGAAATGTGTTTGAAATCAAGTGGATGAGTATTTTTAAGGCTGTCAGTAGTTTTGGGACTAAAGTAATAATTCACGCCAAACTTAGGATTGTTCTCAATACTTATGTCTTCTTTACATTATGACTTATGAGAGGTTGATCTTTACCGGAGTGTTAAATATTTATCTTATATGTGTTTATTATCTTGCATAACTTTTCAGAGTTGAAGCTTAGCGCAGCAAATTTTAGTGCCTTTGTGAGCTAGACAAGCCATCCATGTAGGAGGGCTTTTTGCTTCTATAATTATTTACTTCAATGTTATCATTCTTAAATTCTGGGTCTATGCCCTTCTGTGTGGTCATTACGCTTTATTGATGTGTGAATATAGCTAGATCTTTATGGATTCGTTGAAAAAATTGTTGATAAATTAGGACTCCTTGATCTTATCCAAAAAGGTGGTGAAAGAAGATCACAAATTCGTCTGGAATGTACAGTCAACTTTTATTTTAGCTACATCTTCTTTCCTGATATCGTCATGGTTTCAAAAGAAAAGTTTCTGGTGATGTAAAAATCATCTATTATGTAGATATACTTGATCTAAGATTAGTGATGGACTGATATCTTGTACATCACAAATTCCTCTGGAATGTACAGTCAACTTTTATTTTAGCTACATCTACTTTCCTGATATCGTCATGGTTTCAAAAGAAAAGTTTCTGGTGATGTAAAAATCATCTATTATGTACATATACTTGATCTAAGATTAGTGATGGACTGATATCTTGTAAGTTAGTAGTCGTAGTTAGTTTTCTGCTGACTCTTCTTTAGTTATATAACGGTTTCTGGTTGGACATGAGATTTAAATATCAATTTAGACTTCTTTACTATGTTTGTTATAGTGACAGAAAATGTCAAAAGTAATGGTTGAAACAGCTAGAGAAAATATCACATTGAAGTTCAATTTTTTTTGTTTAATGAGTTTGGATTCTCGAAAGTTGTATAGTTTTCTGCTGACTCTTCTTTAGTTATATAATGGTTTCTGGTTGGACATGAGATTTAAATATCAATTTAGACTTCTTTACTATGTTTGTTATAGTGACAGTAAATGTCAAAAGTAATGGTTGAAACAGCTGGAGAAAATATCACATTGAAGTTCAATTTTTTTTGTTTAATGAGTTTGGATTCTCGAAAGTTGTATTAAAATGTAATGATATGAAACATTTTGAGACTTGCTAAAATTTGCTTGTATAAGGAGGGAGCAGAGAGGTCATCTTTGATTAAGATCTTTGGACCAACCATGTTCTCTATAATTAATATTTTACATGCATAATAATTACTCTTAGAAGCTTCTGAAAGACAAATGTGCAAGAATTTATGTGAGATTCACGTGTTGCTCCATGCACTTTTGGTGCGAGAATTGTACGGCTGAAAGCTATACGTGGAGCACATGTGCATTCTGATGGACAAGTTAGGTAAGTTTGGGGTTCAGAGCCTAACAGAAGTAGATTAATTAACTTCTATACGAGCTTTTTATTACAGCTCTGTACTATTTGCTGTTTTTCTCCTTGTGTTATCCTGCACTTGATGTTTATGGGAATTCTGCGTGTCATGTAAGCAGTTACGTTTTATACCATTGGAGCCTGCTAATTTCTTTTTTCAACTTTTTGTCATGTTTGTAACTTAACACCTGCTTAAAAAGATGATGCGAGCATTCTCTTGATAAGCATGAGCTGCGTTTTGCAGGTTGATGCTGTTGTATACCTGGTAGATGCTTATGACAAAGAGCGCTTCGCTGAGTCAAAGAAAGAATTAGACGCACTGCTATCTGATGAGTCCCTAGCGACTGTTCCCTTCCTCATTTTGGGAAACAAGATAGACATACCGTATGCTGCCTCAGAAGATGAGTTGCGTTATCACCTTGGGTTGACTGGTGTCACTACTGGCAAGGGTAAGGTGAATCTAGCTGATTCTAGTGTTCGTCCCTTGGAGGTGTTTATGTGCAGTATTGTACGCAAAATGGGTTATGGTGATGGCTTTAAGTGGGTTTCGCAATATATCAAGTAGTTTATATCATTTGCATATGTACCAGAAGTTGAAACAGAAATTGTCCTCTTTTATGCTTTCGTACAACTATTTTTTCCCGTCTGGAAAAGATGGAATCTGTTCATTTGTTCTCAAACTGATGAGGTCTTTAGTACTTATAAATTGTATGCATCGAGCATCTATTTAGCGTGATGAGAAGCTATATTTATTGTTGGTGTAAAATTTAACTATGGCTGGAAAATTGTCAAACTCCAGATTATTGGCTTCCAACTCTTAGGACCCATACTTCTCCGCCTCTTCTTAAGCAATTTTCTGCGTGAGAATAGTTTCTATCTGTGTTGAACTTTAATGCTCTTCTCTGTCAGAATCAGAATACTGCTGGAACTCTTAAAAATCTTTCGGTTATGCTTGTGTTTTGGCAAAAGAATTCGTATTCACGTATACTTTGTGCAAGTGTGTGAATTATGTATTTAGGATTCTCTATTTTTTATATAATTTTCATCTACATGTCCATTGCATTCTTCTAGTGCCTTCTGACACAAGATTTTGCGTTTTATGGCGTTTAAGGGATTACGTGCTACTCAGAACGCCTGTATATAGGATTGAAATAATAAGCTATGATTCTCATTTATAATTTTCATAACTGAGATGAATCAGTTGTAAATGTTGTTGAATTTTTGTTGAACGGTTCCTCATTTCTTTCTTGGTTAGGTAAGACTCTCTCCAGTCCAACTCCTGTTGAAAGTAAAATAATTGCGTGTTGTCAGATTGAAGCTCCATGAGATCATACAGTAAAGAGGAGCAGGTCAACTAGTTTTATCTTTCCATTTTCTTGACATTCTTTGGAGTCATTACCACCAAGTCCACCATTCTGTCCTCCATCACAAAATCACAAGATGGAGCGGTTTAACAAACTTTTCCCTTAAATATATGTACTTTACTCTATATTAATGTCCATTAAAAACACCCTCTTCTATTCAATTCCTATCTCAACAACTCATCTTAAATAGGCTTGTCTAACCTTCACCAACAAACTCCAAAAATGGGAAATTCCATTCCACAAGGCACAAGCAAGGTTGTTTTTTCAGATGGAACGTTTCATTGTTACGATAAGCCTTTAACAGTTGCAGAGTTGATGCTGGAACATCCCCAGCAAATGGTGGTTGAATTCAAGCCGATCGCTGATGGTAAAAGGCCAATTCCATTGCCTGCTGATATCAAACTGGAGAAGAACAAGGCTTACATAATGCTTCCAATAAGGAAAGGTAAACCATCAAACTTATCATCTGAAGAAGCGCGGAAAATTCTTACAAAAACAAGCACTATGCTTAAATCCAAGTCTCTGTTAGCTTCATACACAGGGTTTTTGCCTGTATTTGCTCGTATATGTCCAGCTGCAGTATCATCATTGGGGAATGGTCGCGATCATGTTCTTAATTCTGATAAAAATCTTTACTTGTTGAAGAAGAAAGACGCGGAAGATGAAGGATCGAAACATGATTATTTCAGTGATATTGTTGAAGGAAGGCCTGAATTCTTAAGCAGGCAATTATCAGGAAAAGGATGGAAGCCCAGTTTAGATACTATTAAAGAAAAGAGCATGCAAGAGAAAATTCGCCATTGGTTGTTTTGATCCGTCTTTTTGTCCAATCAAACGCTGCCATGTCATCGTTTCCTTTCAACGTCTTTGGTTTTTTTCTCTCTCTCTTTTTTTTAAAAAAAATTCCGTGATACGATTTCATCCATTGATATACCCACCTAGTATCAATACATGGATTTTGTGACTTTGAAAAAATCCATGGTGTGTGGTGAAATCTTAGTCAACGTGTAATTTGTAGCTTTCAATGCATGGTGTGATTAAAGTATTGTAAATGTGTGTTAAGACTTAAGCTATCGTGGTAACGTATTGTCTAAAGTTGAAATTAAGGAGAAGAGGGAAGTAGTAAATCAACTAATGAAGAATTAATTAAATACTCCTAGTATGGTAATAAATTAATAATACATTTGAGGTGTTACACCTACATTCAATAGACAAACAAATTTCTAATCAAGAAAATAGAGTCTGATATACCTTTCAATTTTGTCATTTAGAATATGATATATCTTCGTTATAAAATTAGCTTATATATAAGTTACTTTCATAACGAGAGATGTGTCGAACACCTTAAAATCTTTTCCCTTTCTAGTTTAGACCAATTCCACACCCCCTCTCTCTATATATTCGTCTAAAAGTCACAATTACTACGGTGATATTGAGATTAAAAAAATATATAACTAAATGGAAAGAAAAAAAGAACACAACCATCGAATGATTTTATATTTATTTGAGTTGAATACACAATCTAATAGCTATAGATGCAATGCAAGCATATTGTTTGACTTTCATACCACGAATAATGAAATTTACCAACCAAAAAAAATAGTAATAATATTTGGATGGAATATGAGGCTGAAGGACGATTGAATTATTATAAATTATTTTTGGTGTGTTTAATGATATTAATTTATTAAATAAGTTCAATCTGGTGAAAGGAACTTCTAGTCTAGCAAAGATTCTGGATAAACACTACATGGATTTCTTTTTTATGTTTCAATAATTTGATGATATATTTAAACTTATTAATTCGTTTAATTTGAATTTACATTGAATATATCTATTAAAGGATGGGTGGGTGGGGGACACTCCTTATCTGAAAATTTTATTTTCAACATTTAAAATCGTCACATCTAATTAAAAATAAAAGAATTCTAATTATCTTATTAAATATGAATAACTTATATTTAATTTCAAATTGCAAAAAAATAAGACTTGGAATTCCTGTCTAAACACCTCCTTTGGTGTAATGAGTAGAGGTGAGTATGATCAGGTATAAAATATTTTGATTTCTAAAATATCTTATTATTATTATTATTATTATTATTATTATTATTATTATTATAATATACTGAATTAAGTAAATTAATTATTATTGGTATTTAATTTCAACTTATATATACGATAAAAAAAATTGACTTTTTAAAAATATCTCAATTATATTATATGAACATCTTATACATTAGAATACTATATCTTTTTTGAAACTCATAATTTTAAATATACAATAATATTTGTGAGACTATTTTAAAATTTACAATTTTCTAAACATATCATAATATTTGTGTCCATACAGATACATGGAACTAAAATTGATCAGGGAGCAAGTATATTTAAAATAAGCAAGTTATAACACAAATTAAACCAGAATTTATAGAAAGAATATATAGATGTAAACATTAGAGAAACAGTGTTAATATATGGAATTTTTATTTAAGTTTTGACATGGTAATTAACTAGACTTAGTCCTACTACACCCTTTCTAGAAGTGGTTGGTTACTAGATTTGGTGCTACTTGATGTTAAGTAATTAAATTTGTATTTTTCTTTGTTATTAATAGTAAAATGTTCATAATTGTTACCAAAAAAATATTTGTGTCAGTGGGTTAAAAGAGATCTTTCCGCTTTTAATTAAAAAATTTAATTTAAAAGTAAGAACAAAATAAATTTCTAATAAGAAAAACTCTCACGGTTTCACCTTTACACTTGTCTGAATTAGGTTAAATTTGCTTATACTTAGTGAATATTTTAATCTTAATCATTTGGATCTCATTAATGTAATTTATTTGTTTCAAGGGCTAAATCTTAATTATTTAGCTCTAATTTAAGTGTATTTGTTTTTCTTATTTTACAATTACTTAAGGGATCTAAAAACTGAATGGTTAAAATTTAAATCAAAGTATTAATATTATGAATATATCTATTTAAAATTTCTATATAGATGACAATTTGCCGTTTTTCGATCTATTTTCACCATCACACATAACTATTACCATCATCAATCACAACCACCTATATATCATATTTCATAACTATCATCCTTAGCCTAACCATATCACTTCTGTCAATGATCACCCAAAGTCAGTCGTCATCAACCATCATTTGTAACTATCACCACCAACCATTGTTATATCCACTTAACATTATCAAAAATTATATGTAATTATAAAAGAATGTAATTATGGAACACTAAGATAAATTAGGGGTGGTTGAGTGTGGATTCATTTGAATAAAAATCATAACCACAAGAATATTTTTTAAAATTCTGGCTTTAGACAACTAAAAGCAGCATGATTACTAGGGTGAAGGGCCATAACTCTCCAATCACCAATCTCAAGTGGATAAAATTATTGACTGTTCTTAATTCTAAGGATGTATTCCATCCGTTCGCGTTTATTAATTTCGAGAGTCAATTTAATTAGTTTTAAAATTTAAATATAGTAAATTAATTTAATTTTTTAATATTATATTTAAAATATTAAAAGTTATAATTTTATCATATTAAATTGGTGAATAAATATGCTTTGAAATATTGAGCAAAATTAATATAATTTGACTTCACTAAGAAAAATATGACAATTAGTTTAAAATGGATGAAGTAATAAAATAGTATCTTTTGACTTTCTATTACTTTCTTCATTTTCTTTTTACTTTTTACTTGTTCAATTTATATTTTTGAGAAAACTTGGACACAATAAGTAATTATTTTTATTCGTGATATTTTAGAAGTCTAAATTTTATTGCTAGTACTTCAATTAGTTGAAAAAACTGTTACTCGATAGTATTTTTTAAAACAAATTCTAATTAATTACTATCTCTTAATTTGGTAAAGTAAATATTTAAAATAAAAAAACACATATTGCTAATATTATACTGAATAAACAAAAAGGTAGAGAGGAGGTAGCATATCATGGCCTGGGAATGAAGATGGTACCTTCTTTTCGAAAGTTACGCGATTAAGTAAATTTATATTATTTAATTACTCATTATAGCTATGGTTTGCTATAATTATCACTCGCAACTAATATTATACATTAATTACGTGGGCTAATTTCGAGTTTGTATACAATTATCTAACCATATACATGTACAATTCACCTCTCTCCCACTCTCTGCTCTCGCTCGCCTTTTTCCTCCCTCTCTTAATCTTGCTTGCCATATATACAAATGTATATGAATGATATACAATTTCTAACCTATAGATATACAATTCACCTCTCTCCCACTCTCTGTCCTCTCTCTCTCGCATCTCGCCTCCCTCTCCCAATCTCGCTCGCCTCTCTCCTCCCTTTTCCAATTCCAATTGCCTCTCTCCTCCCTTTCCCAATTTCTCTTGCCATATATACAAATACATTTGTATAATATACAATTATTTAACTGATATACATATACAATTCACTTTTCTCCCACTCTTTTTCCTCTCTCTCCCGTCTCGCTCGTCTCTCTCCTCCCTATAACATGTAGCTACGAATTATAATTATCAAACTATAGCTATGAAGAATATTAGACTATTTTTAAGTGACTATATGTGAAAGTTCCTCTTTTTTTTTTTGTTTTCCACCCATTGTCCGAAGCTCATATTGGAGCTCCGACTAAATTCGAATAGCGCTCTGCAGGGTCTATTCTAGGGTGGCGCTCTCAATAGAATTTTTCTCCATTTCCAGGACTCGAAACTGAGACCTCTGATTAAGAGTGAAGCGCTCTCACCAGTATTGCACCACAACCCATGTTGATAAGCTGGTCCTTAATTATGTTTTACCACTCAGAATTATGAAGTGGATAATAGATTAATCCTAATTGGCACTTATTGCCTATTGGTGTAACAACCACATCACTTTAATCCTCTAATCTTATAATGGTATCAGTAATAATTGCTATGATAATGAACTATGATTAAGGTTAGTCAATTAATTATTATATTTGGTTGTTAGAGAAAGATAGGCCAAAAACCAATACTACCATATCATTTTTGTACAATCAAATCAAGAAATTGTTACACATGATTACCAAATGTGGATTGGGTTAAAAATACCCCCTTATTTGTTTTGCTTGTTTACTCTATCATATAATATAAATATCTTTTACTTCGTTCGTCAATTTTGATATATAAGAGAAGAACCTTTCTTTTTCATGTTTAACCTTGAATATTAATTAATCACGCATGTTTTGGATTATTACCTAAGACTTGAGAATATATATCAGGTATCATTATTAATAAAAATTTAGCGATAATAAATATACACATTAATAAAGAGTGATAAAATTTTTACCGACATTAATTAATTGTCATTAAATTTATTATCATCATAAACTTTAAAAATACTTATAAAGAGTGTCAAATACCGTTAAAAATACATTTTTAATAATAATTAAAACAATTATTATTAATTAATACCCGCTAAAGTAAAATTTTAATACATTGGTATAACACTAAGTGATGAGAGGATATTAAATGTCACTACAAGAGAACAACTTTTGTAGACAATAAATATGCATGTTAATAAATATACTATCTCACAACGCCCAAAAATTGGTGTAGTGTCTCGATAGATTCGTGATGAAATTAAACTCAGTATAAGAAAATAATTTTTGAAGACTATAAATATACACATTAATAAATATATTTCTATCTCACAATGCCAAAAATTGGTGTAGCGTCTCGATAGATTCGATGACTAAACTTAAGTTTTAACTCAGAAGTGATGAAATAAAAAATAAAAAACCATAGAAAAATTATATATTCGATAATTTCCTTTTTAAATTGTAACGTGGCTCCTCCACGGTGTCCAGACTTACTAAGGTCACACGTAAGGGAAGAGATGAAAATGAAATTTGATTTAAATTTTTTGTCTTAAATTATTTAATTGGCCATTTACATGATTTGTTTCTTCCAATTAAATTACCATAAAAGATCCGGAGAGTCTTGAAAAATAAATATGCTTCTATGAAACCAGAAGCATACAAATTTCTATGAATTTCAAATTCCATTTGATTCGCCAAGTTAATACACCATATACCCCCACAAAAAAATGACTAGTTATAAATCAAAACTATGCGAGTGTAACGATTCTTATCGATCGTTATGAGAAGGTAAATGG